ACCAGTGGGTGTGTGAAGAAAGAGTGTTGGCCAGAGGGTCCCATTTTTGCTGTCCCTGTTATAATCTAATAGGCACAATAAAACATAATATGGTTGCAGAGAAAGAGAAGGGACAGGGTCAAAGGGTGGGTGGAGCTGTGGAAGAGCCAAGAAGGTCTTTTGCTGCAGCACGTCAAGGGGGAGGGAGAGGCTTGGAACACATAGGAGGAGAGGGATTGAGAGTTGATGGGCAGGAGCATCTAAGGTTTGGGCACAGGCTTGGAGGTGAGGGTGGGAGGGAGCATGGCCCATCACCACCTGGCCCCTTTCCCCAGGTCAGAGCTCAGAGGACCCTCTTCCATGCCCTTCCCTTCCACAGGCACTAAACTGGACAGCTCTGGTGTGGCCTTTGCCGTGGTGGGGGCCTGCCAGGCTCTGGGTCTCCGGGATGTCCACCTGGCCCTGTCTGAGGACCACGCCTGGGTAGTGTTTGGGCCCAACGGAGAACAGACAGCTGAGGTCACTTGGCATGGCAAGGGCAACGAAGATCGCAGGGGCCAGACAGTCAATGCGGGTGTGGCTGAGCGGGTATGCCCCCTCCCCCCACCTTGTCCATTTCACACTCTCCTCTCCTAGCCCAAGCCACCTCCCCTCTTCCTGGCACCACCTTCATATGCTGAGAAGGGGGAGTGCCCCTTTTCTGGCTGTCATTCCCTGGAGCAGGCACAGGTGGGGCCATCCTGAGACATCTGGTCTTGTCCTCTCCCAAGAGCTGGCTGTACCTGAAAGGATCATACATGCGCTGTGACCGAAAGATGGAGGTGGCATTTATGGTGTGTGCCATCAACCCTTCCATTGACCTGCACACCGACTCCCTGGAGCTGCTGCAGCTGCAGCAGGTGAGAGGTGCCTGTGGGACCATGGGCGGGGGCACTTTCCCTTCCCGAGCTTCAGCTTCCCCTTTGGTAACAGGGGTTTACTCATTCTTGGCCTGGCCTTTCCCAGGGTTCTTGGGAAAGTAGAATTGAGATGTGAAAGGGCTTTGACTCCTGTAAGGGGCTGGTTCCTGAATTTTGGCCCCACCCACCTGGTGGGAGGTCCCTGCTGGTATGCCACTCCTATCTGCCTGGTAGACTGAGACCCTCCTCACCTTCCCTCAGCTCATACCTCTCTCCTTCGGCCCCCCCCTAGAAGCTGCTCTGGCTGCTCTACGACCTGGGACATCTGGAAAGGTCAGTAGGGGGAAGTGGCCAGGCTGGGCCTCAGGGGGCTGGGAGGCAGCCTGGACTCATGACCCTTTCCCAGGTACCCCATGGCACTGGGGAACCTGGCAGATCTGGAGGAACTGGAGCCCACCCCTGGCCGGCCAGACCCACTCACCCTCTACCACAAGGTGGGGACATCTCAGGAGGGTACAGAAGGGAGGCCCAACAGTGGCTGGGGTCCCCTTCTACCTGGGGACTGGGAGGGGGCAGGTGAGGAGAGAGGAACTTTATGTGTATTGGGGGGGTATCGCCCTTCCATTTCCCATTTTGTATTTACCATGCGCGTATTCAGTGTAGTCAGGGCTGTCTGAGGGATGTTCTGGGTTCCCCAGCCTGGGAGGGGTGGGGCCTGAATTTGTTCTCTCAGCCCTGCTTTTTCTGCTGCCTCTTATTGTCCTAGGGTGTAACAGAGGTCACATGTGGCGGGAGCACTGAGGAGGGGTTGTTAACTTTGTGGGGGTGGGGGGTAGGATGGACATTGCGCTAGGCTTAGAAGGCTTTGGTGTTTGTGTAGGAGTGTGTCAGAAAGCCAGGGAAATGGATATGTCCCGAGCTTGGAGGATGGGTCCTTTCCCTTTCCTAGCCCTTGTTCTCTGGGGGTCCCTGCCCCCTGCAGCATGGCCCAGGCCTCAGCAGGTAGTCCTGCAGACCCTGGGGAGGAGCACCTGGCAGAGAGGATAGAAGGGGGTGGAGGTGAGACTGGAGGCGGGACCCTCTGGGATCTGCCTACTGTGCCTCATGGGTGTGACCCAATTGGATTTGTGCCATCCAGGGCCACTGGGGCTGCTCCCTGAGGTCCCTCCGCTCTATCCCCAGGGCATTGCCTCAGCCAAGACCTACTACCGGGATGAGCACATCTACCCCTACATGTACCTGGCTGGCTACCACTGTCGCAACCGCAATGTGCGCGAAGCCCTCCAGGCCTGGGCTGACACGGCCACTGTCATCCAGGAGTGAGGATCCCCCGACTAGGGCCTCAGGCCAGCCTTTCTTCCCCTTCTACCTAATTTCCAACCACCCTCATCCAGGCTTGAGGCCTGGGTCCCCAGCCCTATCCCCTCTCCATCCAGTCCCTAGGCAGCCAAGGCCACCATCACGCAGGAGGTTGGGACCCCTTGATGAGGGCCTCACACCTTTCCCTGGCTCCCCTGGCCTCCCAGTTTCCAACCACTGACATCCAGCAGTAGAATCCACATGCCCTGCCCCACGCCCCCCACCCCTGGCCCCTTGCTCAGACCCATCATTTCCAAGTGAAGACCCCAACCGCTCACCAGGTCCCCTGGGGTCCCTGCCATGGCCCAGACCTCACAGTGCCCTACTGCTCTCACAGCTACAACTACTGCCGTGAAGACGAGGAGATCTACAAGGAGTTCTTTGAAGTAGCCAATGATGTCATCCCCAACTTGCTGAAGGAGGCAGCTAGCCTGCTGGAGGCTGGCGAGGAGCGGCCAGGGGAGCAGACCCAGGTGAAGAGCTGGAGCTGCAGCCCGTGTTCACCTTCCCCCTCTCCCCCAGCAGGGCTCCCCATCCCAGGACACAGGGACTGCTGTGCAGGACTGGGGCCTGCCGGGGGAAGGGGGTCCTGCGCAGAGAGCTACATTCTCTGCTGCAGTAGGGGGTCCCCGGCCTGGCTCTGAGGGAGCTGAGGGTATTTTAGGGGTTTCTACCCTGTGCCTTCAGGTAAAGGGGGTGGAAGCCCATCTCTCTCATGGTCTGTACCCCTCATTCAGTTGAGGGTGTGGGGTGTAGGTAAGAGATGGCTTCTGCTTTCCCCCCCAAGTCCTGGCTAAGGACTGGTTTTATAAAAGGAAAGAGGTTCTAAGCGATCTTTTCCCCTGTGCTCACCTCTTTTGAAGCCAGGGCTCTCTGCCTAGGCGAGGGGCTTGGACTGTGCCCTGTGATAGGGGGTGCCTAAGGCGGGGGTCTAACCTGCGCCCTCATTTCCCCTTGCCCAGGGGACCCAGAGCCAGGGTTCTGCCCTCCAGGACCCAGAGTGCTTCGCCCACCTGCTGCGGTTCTATGACGGCATCTGCAAGTGGGAAGAGGGCAGCCCCACGCCCGTGCTGCACGTGGGCTGGGCCACCTTCCTCGTGCAGTCCCTAGGCCGCTTCGAGGGACAGGTGAGGGGCAGCTGGGCAGGGTGGCTTGGGGGGGCAGCTGCCGAAGCAGAACCTTTGTGGTTCTGAAGAGGGTTGGCTTGTCCCCTTTGGGTGCAGATAAGACAGGCCCTGGCACGCAGCGGCCGAGGCTGGTCTTGGGGTTCCAGCCGCTGGCCTGCAGCCTCTCCTCCACTTTTCCTCCCTGTCCAGGTGCGGCAGAAGGTGCGCATCGTGAGCCGCGAGGCCGAGGCGGCTGAGGCCGAGGAGCTGTGGGGCGAGGAAGCCCGGGAGGGACGGCGGCGAGGCCCGCGGCGGGAGTCCAAGCCTGAGGAGCCGCCGCCGCCTAAGAAGCCGGCGCTGGACAAGGGCCCGGGCGGAGGCCAGGGGGCGATGGCGGGACCCCCTCGGAAGCCCCCAGGGACAGTCCCCGGCACTGCGCGCGGCCCTGAAGGAGGCAGCACGGCTCCGGCGCCTGCACCCGCAGCGTCGCCGCCACCGGAGGGTCCGGTGCTCACTTTCCAGAGCGAGAAGATGAAGGGCATGAAGGAGCTGCTGGTGGCCACCAAGATCAACTCAAGCGCCATCAAGTTGCAGCTCACGGCGCAGTCCCAAGTGCAGATGAAGAAGCAGAAGGTGTCCACACCTAGCGACTACACTCTTTCCTTTCTCAAGCGCCAGCGCAAGGGCCTCTGAAGGACCTGTCAGCCCTTGCGGTGCGGGGAGGAGGGCGCCACCCCAGTCACCCCCACTCCCCCGCCCGCCCCTTGAGCCTAAGCCCCACCCCGGGCCAAGGGGGCCTAAGCCCCTCCTCCAGGCCCCACCCCCACCCGGAATCCGGGCTGCAAGTTGCTGGAGTACGGGCTACTCCGGGGCTCTGCAGATCCCATCCCCCAGAATCCCAGCCGGCCAGTGGAAACCTCACTTTGAGCTCCATCATTAATCTTTAAAGGTCCAAGCACTGGAAACAGGGCCCCACCTCAGAACCGAAGCTCTAACCTTGGGCCAGACCAGGGCTGCTCACGGTTGCTCCCGGGCCCGTGGGGCTGAGGTTTCGCCCTACACCCCAGAAGCACAGGTCCCGTCTCCAACCACTCAGCCCCTAGGAGTACATTTCCGCACTTCAGAATTCCATCCCTTGGGAATCCAACCCCCCTACCCCAAAGAACTTAAACTTTCAGGGTTTGGAAATCCTAGCTTCTTCCCTTCTCTGTCCTGCGAGTCTGGGACACGAAACGCAGTGTCCGGCCTGTGAATCCTGAGCCCCGCCCCCTTCCTGACCAAACTGGCCCCAGATCAGAGCAGACCTTTCCGACCCTCTGGGAACCTCCCCGAGGTCCTGCCCGTCTCAGGGGACTCCGGAGGAAATCTGCAGGGGTTTGCGAGTGGGTGAGGGGAGCCTGATCTCTTCCTGTTTTGTACATAGATTTATTTTTCAGTTCCAAGGAAGATGAATACATTTTGTAAAAAAAAAAACAAAAACAACCCGTCCGTGTTTCATCGAGGAAATTGCGGGAGGGGCGGGCGGGACGAGGGAGAGGGGGTTCCCTCTTCCCCCTGCCTTCTGGCCTTCGGGCTCCCCACCTTAGGGCGCAGGCAACGGGTGGCTGGCCGAAGGGCCTCTGCGGGTCGGCTCCGCCCGGCCTCGGGGCTTCCCCTCCCCGCCGAGGGCCTGTCCCGCGGGCGCCTCCTCCCGGCCGGGCGGCAGGGCATCCCCCTCCTGGCCCCGCCCCGGGCCCCGGCCCCGCCTCCGCGGCCTCGGAGCCACCCGCGCCCGCCCCGGCGATCCTGCCCCGCCCCACCCCGCCCCGCGCCGCCCCGCGCCGGCTCCGCGGCTCCGCAGCTCACGACCGCCCGCCCGCCGGCCCGCCCGGCGCCGGGCAATGGCGCTGCTGCGGGACGTGTCGCTGCAGGATCCGCGCGACCGCTTCGAGCTGCTGCAGCGTGTGGGGGCCGGGACCTATGGCGACGTCTACAAGGTGCGCCAGGCGGCCGGACGCGCGGGAGAGCGGCGGGGAGGGTGCCGGCTCTGCGCCCTACCGCGCATCCAGCCCCCAGCCCCGCCCCCTCCTCATTCCGCTTCACCTCCTCCGCCCCTGCAGGCCCGCGACACGGTCACGTCCGAACTGGCCGCGGTCAAGATAGTCAAGCTAGACCCAGGTGAGGGCCCGGGACCAGGGCCTCTGCGCTGGAGGGAGGGCAGAGCGCCGGGCGGGCGCTGAGAGTTGGCCCCCTGAGAGGCAGGCCCTAGGGTACTGTCACTTGGGATCTTTCTGGCCTGGATGTGCCCATTTTGCAGATGGGGGCACTGAGTTAGAGCAGTCCGTATGCGGCCCCCCCCCCCATGATTCCCTGTGCTTCCCAGGGGACGACACCAGCTCCCTCCAGCAGGAAATCACCATCCTGCGTGAGTGCCGTCACCCCAATGTGGTGGCCTACATTGGCAGCTACCTCAGGTGAGGCTGCTTCATCCCCTTGCCTATCCCCAGGCAGCCCCCATGTGGCCCTGCCATGTGCCCACCCCAGTTCTGTGCCCCCCCCCCCCACCAGGAATGACCGATTGTGGATCTGCATGGAGTTCTGCGGAGGGGGGTCCCTGCAGGAGATTTACCACGGTGAGGGCCAGGACTCCAGGCCCCAGAGGGCCACAGCCTTTTCCCAACCCACTCTTCCCCAGCATGGGGCAGGAGAGGAGAGCTGAGGTCCTGGGCTTGGGCCCTTCTCCACTCCTCACTGGCTGTGTGACCTTGAGACATTGGTGTCCTTCTCTGGGCTCTGTATCCCAGGCTGTGCAGGGAGGGGATGTGGCCAACACCTCTTTCACCTAGCAGTGCCTGCTGCTTCCCCCCACACAGGGTGGCCTGGGAAGGTCAGCATATCCTCCCGACCTCCATGCCAGTCTTCACCCCTTCCATTTCAGCCACTGGGCCCCTGGAGGAACGGCAGATTGCCTATGTCTGCCGAGAGGCACTGAAGGTAGCTGGGCCCTTACGACTGTTCACACCCCCAGTCCCCAGGAGCTGTGGTCAGGGAGCCCAGCTGGCCTGGCCAGTGCGTGCCTCTGTGTGTGTGTGTGTGTGTGTGTGTGTTGGGGGGGTGGAGTGCCTCGGGCAGAGCTGGCCTGAGGGGCTGTGGGTCCTGGGGGGGAAGGGGCCCCAGCCCTGTTGCCGGAAGCAGCACATTTCCCTCTTGGCTCAGTCACTTCCTGTTTGGGGAGAGGGGAGGAGGAAGCTGCTTGGGTGGGGGGCCCCAGTTGCGAGAGGGGGCTCAGGAAAGGGGAGATAGTCCTGGGTGGCTGTTCTCAGGAGCTCCTCTTTGTCCCCAGGGGCTGCACCACTTACATTCTCAGGGGAAGATCCACAGAGACATCAAGGTAGGGGTCTGGCCAAGGACATCCTGGGAGGGAGAAGGAGGCTCTTGGGGGCACCAGATGGGATTCTCTCTCCTCCATTCCCACAGGGAGCCAATCTTCTCCTCACCCTCCAGGGAGATGTCAAGCTGGGTCAGTACCTCGGGGACACAATCAGGGTGAGGGTTCTGTGGGAGCTTATGGAGTCTTAGGGTCTGCATTTAAGTGCTGGGTGTCCTTGAGCAAGTCACTTTACCACTTAACCCTCAGTTTCCCCATTGAGAAAGTGTTACCGTCCTCCTTCCCTGCTAGAAGTTGGGTGTGGTTGGGTCTGTATGGAGTCTAACCTGGGACTACGCACTTGGTGAGGGAGAGAAGGTAGTGGACCCCTCCCGGAGGGGGCCCTGGCCTTGCCTTCAACGTGTGGCAGTTGTGGCTGAACGTGGGCCGCCTGCTCTCTGAACCCTTCAGGTGCATTCCGAGCCTCAGCCCTGGAGGTGGGTGGGGGGTGGTAGATAGAGGGCGGGTGGGAGCAGCTCTTTCTCCCTGCAGCTGACTTTGGGGTGTCAGGTGAGCTGACGGCATCTGTGGCTAAGAGGAGGTCTTTCATTGGGACTCCATACTGGTGAGGCTGTGCCTTGGGCTGAGGGGGTGGGGGGGGCACAGGTCGGGCACCTGGCCATCCCACTTGTGACCCCCTCTCTAGGATGGCCCCAGAGGTGGCCGCTGTGGAACGCAAAGGAGGCTACAACGAGCTCTGTGACGTCTGGGCCCTGGGCATCACCGCCATCGAGCTGGGCGAGCTGCAGCCCCCTCTATTCCACCTGCACCCCATGAGGTCCGCTGAACACTTACTTGCCCCTTGCCTGACCTCCAGGGCACTGCTGACCTTGTCCCCTGACCTCGTGCTCTGTTCCACAGGGCCTTGATGCTCATGTCGAAGAGTAGCTTCCAGCCGCCCAGGCTGAGAGATAAGACTCGCTGGTGAGGGCCTACATCCCCCACTGGGGCCTCCTTTCCAGCAGTCTCCACGGGGGCAGAGAACCTGCCAACTCCCAGGGTGCAACCTGAGGAGCCCCGCACTCTCAGCCTTTGTGGACCGTCTGTGGGAGGGGCCTGAGCCCTGCCCCCGGGCCGAGGGACTGGTGTGGGCAGGGAGGAAGGACAGATGGTTATGATAGAGGAGCTGCTGTGCCCCAACGGCAGGATTGCTTAGGCCAGCTGCCCTGGGCTTCGGTCTGGCTCCTTCCTGAAGCAGACTCCCTCCTCTGGAGCTCGCAGGATGCCCCACATGAGGGCTAACCTGGGTCTGGGGGCGGGGGCTCTTGTGCCCACTAGGACCCAGAATTTCCACCACTTCCTCAAGCTGGCCTTGACCAAGAATCCCAAGAAGAGGCCGACAGCAGAGAAGCTTCTGCAGGTGGGAGATGGGGGCAGGGCAGGAGCCTAGGTGTTTGCAAGCAGGGGCCTAGAGGCCAGGAACCAACCTGTGCTCCTCCCCCCCCAATCCTCCAGCATCCATTCACAACCCAGCACCTCCCTCGGGCTCTCCTCACACAGCTGTTGGACAAAGCCAATGACCCCCACCTGGGAACCCCCTCCCCAGAGGACTGTGACCTGGAGGTAAGTGAGGGGAGCTGAGGAATGGATCTTGGCCTGGCCAGGTGGTAAGGAATGCAGACGTGATATGGATCAGGTCCCTTTAACTTGCGAATTTCCAGCACTGGGAGCTTTCCTCCAGGCGAGCCCACCCATTAGAAATTTTCCCTGGGCCCATCTCGCCCCCGGTACCCCTCACTTGATAAATTCCTGTGCTTGGCTTAAGCTGACCTGACCCTAGCTTAGCTCTCTTCTGGTTTTTATGTGTTCTTTGGCCAGTTATTTGTTTCTCTGTGGTGGTTTTCTCATCTTTAATCTTACAATAATCTCATAAAGATGTTGTAAAAACAAAGTGTGGGTAAAGCACTTCCAGTGATACCTGGCGGAAGGCAAGTGCCTGGTGTGTGTCAACCGTTGGTGTTTGTGTTCTTTCCTAGACTTACGACATGTTTCCAGACACCATTCACTCCCGGGGGCAGCACGGCCCGGCCGAGAGGACCCCCTCGGAGATCCAGTGTGAGTTTGCTTGAGGTTATGTGGGTGTGTGTGGGGGGGGCTATGTGTGGATTTGGTGGGGGGCTGTGTGAGTGGATCTGGTGGGGGACGGTGCATGTGGATCTGGTGGGGGGCTGTGTATATGGACTTGGCTGGGGGGGCTGTGTGTGTGGATCCGGTGGGGGGGCTGTGTGTATGGATTTGGTGGAGGGGGCTGTGTGTGTGGATTTGGGGGGAGCTGCGTGTGTGGATTTGATGGGGGGCTGTGTGCGTGGATTTGGATTTGGTGGGGGCTTGTGTGTTTGGTTATGGTTGGGGGCTGTGTATATGAATTTGGTGGGGGGGTGTGGACTTGATGGGGGTGCTCAGTGTGGATTTGGGGAGAGGCTGTATGTAGAGCGGGGAGCTGGTATTTGGATTTGGTGGGGGGTTGTGTGTGGATTTGGTAGGGTAGCTGTGTGGACTTGGGGGGCTATGTGTGGATTCGGGGGGCTGTGTATGTGGATTTGGTGGGGGGTGCTGTGGTGGGGGGATCTGGGGGGTGGCTATGGCGGAGGCTGTGTGTGTCTGAATCTGGTGGAGGGGGCTAGGTGTGGGGATCTGGTGTGAGTATGGGGGTCAGTCGGAAGGCCGCCTTGCTAACTCGTGTACCCTGGGCCCCCCAGTTCACCAGGTGAAATTTGGCGCCCCACGCAGGAAGGAAACAGACCCACTAAATGAGCTGGTGAGGGGGCTGGTGGGTGGTGCAGGAGGGGCGGTGCGCAAGGGCGGCCTAGGGAGCTGGGCTAGAGGTGGAGTGCCTCAGATCCCTGAGGCCCGTGACACTGAAAGGGGGGGCTCCTTCTTGGGCATGGTGACCTCACCTTTCTAAAAAATGGGCCTATCGCGGATTTGAGCCCCCATCCCACCCGCTCAGCGTGGTTCTCTCTGCCGGTTCTATGTCTTCGCCCAGTTGTCCGACCCACCAGCTCTGGCTCTTGCTGCCCATCTGTCCCCTCTCACCGTTTGTTTGTCCTCCTCTTTCATAGTTTCTTTGTCTCTCCTTGCCTCTCTCACAATTTTCTCGCCTGTTACCATGTCATTTTTCATCTGTTTGTCTGTTCTTTCTTTCCCACAGTCTCTCGATCATCCTCTAATGTGGCTTCTCTTCTCTTTGCTTCTCTTTTGGTTTTTCTGATTTGGTTTCCCTGCAGTGGGAGGAGGAGTGGACACTGCTGGGAAAGGAGGAGCTGAGTGGGTGAGTGAGGCAGAGGGAAGCTACAGGGGAGGGGTGAGTGAGGCAGAGAGAAGCTATAGGGGAGGGGTGAGGGAGGGAGAGGAAAGCTACAGGGGAGGGGTGAGGGAGGGAGAGGGAAGCTACAGGGGAAGGTGGGGGTGGCAGAAAAGGCTGACTTCTGACCTCATGCCCTCCTGCCCAGGAGCCTGCTACAGTCTGTTGAGGAGGCCCTAGAGGAAAGGTAAGGGGCTGGGCCTGAAGGTGGGGGGCGGGCAGCTGGACCTGGGGCCCGGTCACATCTCACACCTCATGTTCCTCTGGTTTGTCCCCCACAGGAGCCTGACCATCCGGCCAGCCTCAGAACTCCAGGTATGGAGTGCAGGGAAGTTGGAGCAGGGGATGGGAGAGGGCTGTAGAGGCCGCAGTTGGGGTAGGGCCAGGTTATGGGGTCTTGCTGACTGCCAGGCTCGGTCCCCTGACTCTCCTGCCAGGAGCTGGACTCCCCAGACGATACCATAGGAACCATCAAGCGGGTCCCATTCTTGGGGCCATCCCCCGCTGAGCCTCCAGCTGAAGACCCTCTATCCAGCCCCCTAGGTGAGTCCAGGCTTGGGGGACCAGGAGGCAGGAGCGGGTGGGGCTAGAGCTGGAATTCACAGCCAGTCTGTGCCTGCAGGAACCCCACCTCCACCTCCCCCAGGCCCTAACAGCCCCCCACTGCTCCCCACTGCCTGGGCCACCATGAAGCACAGGGAGGATCCTGAGGTGAGGGGGTGCTCCAGAGGGGCTGGGAAGATGGGAGACTGGGGGTGCCACCTCGGCCCTGACTCTTTCCCACCCTTCCAGAGATCGTCCTGCCATGGGCTTCCCCCAACCCCCAAGGTGCATGTAAGTGTTTGTCCCTCAGCCCTGTCCCCCTGCTGCCCCCACCACCTACTGCCTCCCCCCACTTCTGTCTTCCTCACCAGCCTCTTGCCTTCTCCCCAGATGGGTGCCTGCTTCTCCAAGGTCTTCAATGGCTGCCCCCTGCGGATCCACGCTGCTGTCACCTGGATTCACCCTGTCACCCGGGGTAGGCGGGGCAGGGAGGAAGCAGGAGCGCGGGAATCCCCAGCTTGGGCCAGGGGCTGTGACTGACCTCTGACCCCCTAACCGCCCCCCCTCCCCGCAGACCAGTTCCTGGTGGTGGGGGCCGAGGAAGGCATCTACACCCTCAACCTGCATGAACTGCATGAAGATACACTGGAGAAGGTGAGGCCCGGCTGGCTTTGGAGCGGGGAGGGTCCTGGGGGGCTTGGAGTGCTGACTCCCTGTCCCTCAACCACTCTGTGGCCTCCAGCTGATTTCACACCGCTGCACCTGGCTCTACTGCGTGAATAATGTGTTGCTGTCGCTCTCAGGTACAGGTTGGGGCAGGCGGGGGGCCGGGGCCTGCACCCCGCCGGCCCACACTCTCTGAGCCCCTCTCTCCCTCCCTGGCAGGGAAATCCACGCACATCTGGGCCCATGACCTCCCAGGCCTGTTTGAGCAGCGAAGACTCCAGCAACAGGTTCCCCTCTCTCTCCCCACCAACCGCCTCACGCAGCGCATCATCCCCAGGTCAGGGACCCTAGAGGAGCCTGGACGTGCAGCGGGGTGGGAAGGGGGAGGCAGAGGGGCCGAGCCGGGGTTGGAATATGGCCTTGCCTGTGACTGGGCTTGTGATCTCAGACGTGGCTTTGCCTCTCTGAGCCTACTTTCCTCATCTGTCAGAGCCTTTGTAGCCCCCATCCCGGGCCGCTGGGCCCATAGGGAAGCAAGGAGACCACAGTGAGGCCGTTGTGGTTGTGAGGGTACGGGACCAGCCTTTACCGAGCACTAGCTGTAGGCCTGGTCCTAAGCTGGGCTGGGAGACAGCAGATCAAATGCATCTTTGACAGTAAGGACCTGGCCCTGAAGTGAGCCTGGGGGAGAGCAGGGGGTGGGGGGGCGGGGCGCAGAGGCCTCTGAGAAGCTGGCCGCCTGAGGGCGTGGGGTTGGCAAGTGCACAGTGGGCTTCCGGGCAGATGAATTTGGGAATGGCATTCCAGGCAGGGGAAGAGCACCAGCGAATTCTTGTGGGTGATCTGGGGAGATATAAGGCGTTTGGCCTGGGGGAGGAGGGCGGAGCAGCCTGAGGGGAAGACGCACGGGTGGCAGAGCCCTTCCTTTGATGCCAGGCCCGGGATCTGGGTTTTGTTCAACTGGCAGCAGTGCTGGGTTATTTGACAGAGAAAGACGCAGCGAAAGAGGGAACACAAGCAGGGGGAGTGGGAGAGGGAGAAGCAGGCTTCCCGCGGAGCAGGGAGCCCGATGTGGGGCTCGATCCCAGGACGCTGGGATCATGACCTGAGCCGAAGGCAGACGCTTAACGAATGAGCCACCCAGGCGCCCCAGTGCTGGGAGCATTTTAGAAGGATCCCTCAGTATGTCAATCGGGACTCTTCCTACTGCAGGCGATGCAAGTGATTGACTAGCAGAAAAGGGAATTTAGTGGTTCATGTAACTGCAAGTTCAGGAGTAGGGTTAGCTTTAGGCCCAGCTGGATCCAGGCTTAAATGGCTTCATCAGGAATCTCTTGGCTCTGCTTTCCCCTATCACCTTCGTTCTCAGGTAGGCTTTCCTGTCCAGGGAGGGAGGGCCGTGGTTCCAGGCCAGCGTTCCATTAGCTAACAGGCTTGTGGTACTAGAACCTCTGCTTCCAAGTAATTCCCACAAAGTCCGGGGGCCAATTCTCACGGGTCTAGCTTAAGTCCCTGCGCACTCTGAGCCTGTCACTGTGGCCACGGCATGAGGAGCTTGGTGGGGGCGGGGGGGGCAGGCCTGGGTCACGTGCCCTCTCCTAGAGCTGGGGGGTCAAGAGAGACACATGAAGACTAGAGGCATCTGCTGGCTGACTGTGCTGAGAGTGGTCACAATGACTTGGAGGGGGAGGCTGGTGAGAGGGCACCTGGGAAGGAGGCCAGTGTAGTGACCTGAGGCGGTGGGTGTTAGGCTACAGGGTGGTGAGAGATGAACGGACTTGAGCCATATTCAGGAATTGGGGTTGAGAGGATCTGGGGCCTGACCCGAGTGAGCAGGAGGGAGAAGGGAGGGACTGGGAGACCTTGGGGGAGCAGATCGTGTCGTGTGTTTTATGAGGCTTCGGTGGGGTGGGGGGAGTTGTCCAGATAGAGTCCCTTGTTCAGTCATTCAGAGAGTATCTCCTCAGTACCTAGTACGTGCCTGGGGGCCTCTGTGAACTAAAGAGTCCCTCATAGTCTCCAGACTTTCTTGTCACAAGAGACAGACAACAAACAACTAACATAAAAAGGGTATTCTGTGGTGATGTGCAGAGGGGAAAGTGGTGCGTAAATTAAAGCGTGGGGAGGAGGAGGACCAGGAGGGGTGGGGCCTGGATGGTGGTCTTAAACAAGGTGGTCAGGAAGGACATTTCCTTTTTTTTTTTTTTTAAGATTTTATTTATTTATTTGAGATAGAGAATGAGAAAGAGAGAGCACATGAGAGGGGGGAGGGTCAAAAGGAGAAGCAGACTCCCTGCTGAGCAGGGAGCCCAATGCAGGACTCGATCGTGAGACTCCAGGATCATGACCTGAGCCGCTTAACCAACTAAGCCACCCAGGCGCCCTAGGAAGGACATTTCTGAGACAGTGCTGTTTGAATAAAGACTTAGAGCAAGGCTTGTTGATATCCAGGGGGAAAGTGACATGGACTGAGGTTTTGAGGGGATCGTCCCTGTAGCCGCTATGTTGAAAATAGACTGAAAGGGTGAAGGGAAAGCAGGGAAACCTGTCAGGAGGTTCTTGTACCCATCAGGTGGGAGGTGATGGTGGCGTGGGCCAGGGTAGTAGTGAAGGAGATGAAAAGCGGCTGAATTCTGGTTTTCTTTTGAAAGTTGAATCAGCAGGATTTCCTGACAGTTGGTAGATGGAAGAGAAAGAGAAGTCGATGACTCCAGGATTTTTGGCCTGGGCAGCAGGAAGGATAGAGCTGTCATCAGGTGTGGGTGGAGCAGAATTCAGTGTTGTCACATTGAGTCTGAGATGTGCAAGTGGGACCTCCATCGACCGTGGGCTAGGTGTGGCTGAATTCCAGGAGGGGTCCAGGCAGTAGGCTTAGATGTTGCCCTGCCCAGGGGGGTGGTGGGAGCTGGTAGGGGCGGTGGGAGAGGTCAGGCCAGTGGCTACCCCAGCTGGGGAGCTGTGGGCCCAGGCCCTTCCTGCGGCAGGCTCGCTCATGTACCACATCTGGAGCCCTGTAGCCCTGGGGCTTCCTGAGCTCAGTGCCCGAGCAAGCCTCTGCTTTGTCCCAGGACCTGCAGGAAACAGGCCCGTCAGAGCCCCAGCTTGGGTGTGTGTTTGGAAAGTCACGGAGTCAACGCTGTCCACCTTGCACATAAAAAGCAGAGAGCCAGAATTGTTTGGAGAAAAAACGGATACAAAAATATCTGCCTCTGTCCCGTCCAGAAGCCAGTTGGGGGAGAGAGGAGACAGAGCAAAGGGAGAGAGGAGACAGAAGGGCAGACGACCCGGGTTGCTGGGAGGAGGTGGCAGGCCTCCAGACATGTAACCCTGTTCCCCAGAGGAGGAAACGGGCTCAGGAGGTCCCCTGAGGGCTTGGGGGACAGCCAGTAACTGAAGCAAGGATGCTACCTACTTTCCCCCTGCCACCAAAGCCAGCCACCAGCCGGCTCCCTGTGGTGTCACTTCAGAGAGGGCAGGCCAGGCCGATTGTTTGTGGTTTTTTTGCACGTGTTAATCTTCTTGGGCCCCGCCTGCCTTTCTCTGACATGTGCCATGTGGCAGGCGGAGGGGGGAACCGCCGTGAGTGCTCGCAGGGCTGGAGCCGTGCCTGCCCCCTCCGTGCCCTTGTTTCTTCATTCACGTCTGCTTTTAGACCTTGCCTTCGCCTCAGAAGGGTTTCCAGTGATGGGCAGTAGGCGGGCAAGTCATCATTCGGAATGGGCAAAGCTAGCCCTGTGTGAGTGCATGCAGCGTGCCGGGCTCTGCTGGAAGCCCTTCTCCTCACTACGGGGTCAGGGCCACGGTTACCCCCATTCCCCGGATGAGCAAACTGAGGCAGGGGCAGCTTAAGTGAGCTGCCCAAAGGGGCACAGGTAAAGGTGCTTCTGTGCCTGCACCCCTGGGCCGCAGGCTGTGGAGGTGGGTGTTGGAGCCTCAGGTTCTCCCCCGTCGGGCAGGGAAGGGGACAGCGCCCATCTCAGGGCTCTGTGGGGCCTTGGCCATGGACGGCACCCATGACACATGCCCCGGTCGTCATCCCTGCAGGCGCTTTGCCCTGTCCGCCAAGATTCCAGACACCAAAGGCTGCCTGCAGTGTCGTGTGGGTAAGAGCCGGGCGTGGGGGGGCTGGGGGCACGGGCGCGGCCAGGTCCCCACCGCCTGCCTCTGTTGCAGTGCGGAACCCCTACACGGGCAGCACCTTCCTGCTGGCTGCCCTGCCCACCAGCCTGCTCCTGCTGCAGTGGTATGAGCCGCTGCAGAAGTTCCTGCTGCTGAAGGTGCGGGGCGGCCGGCTGGGGCGGGGGGGGGCGGTGGCCTGGATGGTGGCAGTGGGCCTGGGGGGAGAAGTGGAGGCCTGAGCACCCCTGCTGCCCCCAGAACTTCTCCAGCCCCTTGCCCAGCCCCGCGGGGATGCTGGAGCCCCTGGTGCTGGATGGGAAGGAGCTGCCGCAGGTGTGTGTGGGGGCGGAGGGCCCCGAGGGGCCCGGCTGCCGAGTCCTGTTCCACATCCTGCCCCTGGAGGCTGGTCTGATGCCTGATGTCCTCATACCGCCTGGTGAGCCAGAGGGCTGTGTGTGTGTGTGTGTCAGAGAGAGGGGGCGGGCAGGGAACTGGGTTCACCACAGCTATCGGCTCCCAGCCCCCCTTCAGCGGGGCTTCTCTAAGAGATTTCATTAGGGGGCCGCAGGGACAGAACCAAACCAGGCAGGGCGGGCCTGGGGGCCTTCATTCTGAGCAGGGAAGCAGGACCCTGGGTCGGGACGGCTCAGGGGAACAGAGGGAGTGGCCGTCGGTCAAGAAGGACGGGCGCACTGGACTAAGGCCCAGCTGTGCCCCAGGCCCCGAGCCAGGGGCCTCCCACACAAGCCTTCATTCTTACTCCTCACGGCAGCCCCGCAAGGTCGGCATCGTCCTGCCTGGGTTACACGTGAGGGAACTGAGGCTCAGAGACTCACACAGTGGTGGAGTCGCACACGGTGCTTCTCCCGGCTCCAGAAACCCTGCCCTCCCACGGCTCCCTGGGACTCACCTCTGCCTCTCTACGGCGCCTGCAGGCGGCTCACTCAGCCGCCCTGAGCCTCAGTTGCCCCAGCTGCGCTGTGCGGGAATCAGTCGGACTGCTGTGGGGCTGAAAGGCGCTTGTGGGGGCAGCTGGCTGTAGCCGTACCCCAGGGTCTTCCTCGCGGGGCTCAGCCAGGCCGTGTCTCCCTTGTCTGCCTGCAGAGGGGCTCCCGGGCACCGCCCAGCAGGTGATCCAGGTGGACAGGGACACAGTCCTAGTCTGCTTTGACCGTGAGTGCCCCTGAGGTCAGGGCTCGGGGCAGTGGAGGGGCTGAGGGGAGGCTGAGGGAAGCCATGTGCATGTGGGTCTGCCTCCCCAGAAGGGAACCACCCCGTTCGCACCCACCAGCCCTCTCCCTACTGTACAGGCTGCGTGAGGATGGTCAACCTGCTGGGTGAGCCCACGGCCACACTGGCGCCCGTGCTGACCTTTGACTTCCCCATTGAGACTGTGGGTGAGTGAGCTGGATGGGGGTGGGGGCGGGAAGGTCCCCAGCCTAGAGCATGTGATGTGGCCCGGGGCGGGGCGGGCAGTGGGACAAGGAGGCAGGTGCCCCAGCCCCTCTCAAGAGCCACACCTGTCACCTGCGGTCTGTGAGGACCTCGGTGGCCCAGACCTGGGGCCAGGGTGTGGCGGGGGGCGCCAGCGTCCTCGGGGCAGGTGCAGGGCTGAGGCAGCCTGCTGCCTCCTAGTGTGTCTGCAAGACAGTGTGCTGGCCTTCTGGAGCCATGGGATGCAAGGCCGTAGCTTGGACACCAACGAGGTGAGTGGAACTCTGGACCCTCGCTGCCCCTGGCCTGGTGGGCACCGCCTCTTAGGAGAGGAGCCACTGGGGTGGCCTCAGTGCCCCTTTTCTTCCCAGGTGACCCAGGAGATCACAGACGAGACAAGGATCTTCCGAGTGCTTGGGGCCCACAGGTAGGACGCGGTGCCCCGACCTCCCCTTCAGAAGCCCCTGAGGCCATATGGATGTGCCACAGGTCTTCCCTGCCCTGCTCACCTCCGGTTCTCTCTCCCCTCCAGGGATATCATCCTCGAGAGCATTCCCACTGACAACCCAGGGGCTCACAGCAACCTCTACATCCTCACGGGCCACCAGAGCAGTTACTGAGAGGGCCGGGCATGGCCGGGGGCATCCCCTCTACCCTGCCCCCAGGCCTTAGCTGCATTCCCTTTTAGGCAAAAGGGGCCCCTCCCAGGTCAGAGGAGCCCAGGCTCTGCTGGTCTGAAGGGCAGAAATAATCCTGAGAAGAGTTTTGCGGGCTGGGGGTGGGGGGAAGCCCACCCCAGGCCCCCCACAAAACTGGACCAGAGGAAGCTGCTGTTACCTCCCCCTTCCCTGTGGGCAGCTCAGGCCCTGCGGCAAGGGTCCCCGGGCAGGGTGGGGGCAGGCCCAGGTGACCCATTCCATTTTGTCTCCACATCCTTTCCATTCTTCCTGCCAAGAGCCTGCCCCTGCACCCTGTCCTGGGGAATATGGTATTTAAAAGAGAGACTATATTGGTATTAAAGCTGGTTTGATTTTACTCCACTGATCCCTCTTTGTCCGGGGGAGCTGAGCCCACTGTCTCATCTCCCTCCTTCTTCCCTCCCTCCCTCCAGCACATCTCTCTGTGGCACCAGGGAAGGGGGCCCCCCAGTGTTCTGGTGACTCCCTAATGGGGGAGCCCGGCAGAGCTGATGGAGAGGCCAGTGGCCCCCAAAAGGCATCTCAGGGGCACTGTCTTCCCGGGCTCTCCTGCTCAGGATGAGCCCTCAGCTTTGAAGTGTGAGGCCTCTTTTGTGGCCGAGAAACCATGCAAATGGGGGGGGGAGGCCAAGCTGAACAAAGGGACTCTCATCCAGGGCACCCCTGCCCCGTTCAGGGTCTCACCAGGCAGCCAGGGCCCAGGAAGGGCCAGCCACTGGCTGCGCCACCCAGTGCCAGCGAGGCTTTGGTCTGTGGACACAGCCTGCTATGACCTGTGTCCCCTGCCCAAGCCTGGGGCTGCATCCCTGCCTCCCAGCTGCTGCCTAGGTATCAGCGTGCTCCATCAGGCCAAGACTGCAGAGTATGGGCTCCGTCATCAGGCTAGACTCTGGGAAGATTAGCCCGTGTCCATTTAACAAGTATTCCCAGACAGCCTCCTCAGTGCCAGACCCTGGGCTCACAGAGAGGTCAGTACCAAGATGTGGACCAGCCCCCAGTGAAGGCAGCGATCCTTGCTGGAGCCTGCATCTCGAGGGTACGTCTGTCTGCCCGTGGCTGACCTTTTGCTTTGCATTGTCATTCTTGCACTTTTCCCTCTTAGAGGGCTCCATATCCTCAGGCCAGGAAGCCCCCCCCTCCATTGCCCCAGGCACTGACCAGGCTGCTCTGGACCGGAGCCTTTGGGCAGGTGAGGCCAAAGAGGTAGGATGACCGCTAGCCTTGAAGGAGAGGTCAGGTGCACACACACGGCTGCATAGGGTGGGAAGGCCCTGGGTCTGGGGGAAGAGCTTGAGCAAAGGCCCAGGGGTCAGGTCTCGAATGTGGCCCAGTTATCTTTCTTCTGATATTCAAGGCAACTGTTTGAATTAAGAATTTCTCTCCACCTGGTGGGTTGCTGGTATTTGATAAATGGATGCAAGTGGGTGGGTGGGTGGTGGAGAGATGGCAGCTTAGGTGAAGAGCCTGCAGCGGCCCAGTCCCCACTGCCCCTGCCAGGGGCCCCGGCCATCCCAGGTTCTTCTGTTGTCCTCTTGTCCACCCCCCCACCCCACCCCCACAGAGCCCTGACTGCTCTGACTCCTAGGGTTTTTTGGCTGAAATAGATTGTCAGACGGGGAGGGAGACAGAGCTGTACATTGGCACTCACACCTGCCCTCTCCCTGAGACCCAAAGGAGGGTGGCAGGCACCTCCCAAGTTCTCAAAGTCTGCACCTGCCTGGAGGACGTTGGATGGACCAAATGGTGGAGTGACATGATATGATTCCTAACTTCCCATTTTCCAGATTTCCTGGTGGAGGTGTAGGACTAAGTTGAGGTGTGCCGGGGGCGCCCCTGACCCTCACCCCAGGTGCCCGGGAGAGGACGACCTTCCCGCCTACAAAGCAGCGGCCCGCAAAGAGCGCCACCTTGTGGCAGGTTGCTCTAGCCCGTGGCTGCCACCCGGGTCGGCAAAGGGGCTTTGGGGGAGTTGAGACCGTAACATGCCAAAAAGTGGGAGGTCGGGGGGGAAAAGCAAGGGCTTCTGATAAAATACTCACTGGCAGCACAGGCTGGCCACAAGCCAAAGAAAGACCAGGAAGCTGGGAATTTGCACTGAAAAGACTGAAAGTGTTATTTTATTTATGTATTTTTAAATAGGTAGCCCTTGTCCGTGGCCTGCTATTTTTTTAAAAGAATACAAAATGGATACAATGAAAAGTCTGAACCCTTTGGTTCAATGAAAACTTCTGAACCCTTCTGCAAGTATTTAAGCAGTTCCGTATGATTTATTCTTCTCCCCTTTTTAAATGTGCGGTGACACATTCCACACACTGTTCTGCTCTTACCCTTTTAAAATCTGTTCTGGGGAGCTTTCCATCATCAGTGCTCCCCTCCCCTTGTTGTTTTCACAGCTAGTGGTGTTCCATTGTATAGCTTTCCCACAACTCCTGTTCACTCACTGCGATTAGATCCCTTACTGATGTAACTGTGTTTCTACGACTTTGATATTACGAGGGACACTGCAGTAAATATCCTTGTGCAATAAATACCACGCCCATGCCACTCTGGCCATTCAGGTGTCCTGTAGGGTGACTTTCTGGAAGCGACATTGCTGCGTCAGAGTGGCCGTGTTTGTTCTTGTGAGAGCTCCTGTCAAATGCTGAGCTGTGTTTTCCCCATAGAGCAAATCCTAAATCGGCCTGCAGGGCCATGGGGAGGATTGAAAATCCTGTAATATACAAAATGCAACAACACGGAGGAGCCTCAGAGATCGAATACTGAACTCAAACAGCAAATCGCATGAAACTACGCACAGTACGGTTGCATTTTCAAAAGCTCAAAAAAACCAGCAAAAGGAAAGCATTTACTGTCTGGTGGGACAGGCACATGTGATAAAACCCTATTCGATCAGGGGAAGAAAAAGTACAAAATTCAAGACGATGGTCTCGGAGAGGAGAGTAGAGGAGTGATGAGGAAGGACCCCAGGAGTGTGCAAGGGTTTTGGTCAAATCTTGGTTCTCAGGTTGGGTTGTGGGTTCGTGGGCATTCGATGTATGTCAGTCCCTAACTCAGACAAGATGCCACACATCCTTTTGTATGTATCAAACACTATGTAATAAAATGTAAGTTTAAATATAATCCCTCAAAAAATAAAACCTTGTATTGGGTTAAAAAAAACAAAACAAAAAAAAGCCAAGATCATCTTTTCCTAGATTATGAAATCAGCATTGTGAGTAGAACTACAGGCAGATCTCTCTCTCTCTCTAGTTTCTTCTATTGTTTTTTTTTTTTTTAAGATTTTATTTATCTATTTGAGAGAGAGAGAGTGAGAGACAGAGAGCACGAGAGGGAAGAGGGTCAGAGGGAGAAGCAGACCCCCCGCCGAGCAGGGAGCCCGATGCGGGACTCGATCCCGGGACTCCAGGACCATGACCTGAGCCGAAGGCAGTCGCCCAACCAACTGAGCCACCCAGGCGCCCTCTTCTATTGTTTTTTAAGACAGCTTTATTGAGGGGGGACTGGCTGGCTCAGTCAGAGGAGTATGCAACTCTTGATTTCAGCGGTGTGAGTTTGAGCCCCATGTTGGGTGTAGAGATTACTTAAAAATAAAAACTGAGGGGCATCTGGGTGGCTCGGTTGGACGGTTGCCTTCGACTTAGGTCATGGTCCCAGGATCCTGGGATCGAGCCCCCCATCAGGCTCCCTGCTCAGCGGAGAGCCTGCTTCTCCCTCTCCCTCTGCCTGCTTGTGCTCTCTGTCAAATAAATAAAAATCTTTTTTTAAAAAATGAAAATAAAAAATAAAAACTGAGGGGCGCCTGGGTGGCTTAGTCAGTTAAGCATCTGCCTTCAGTTCAGGTCATGATCCCGGGGTCCTTGCTCAGGGGGGAGCCTGCTTCTCCCTCTGCCTGCCGCTCCCCCTGCTTGTGTGCTCTCTCTCTCTCTGGCAAATAAATACATCTTTAAAAAAAGATGATATTAGAAAAAAACATATCTTAAAGGGGCACCTGGGCGGCATAGTTGGTTAAGCGTCGACTCTTGGTTTTGGCTCAAGTTGTGATCTCAGGGTCGTGAGACTGAGCCCTGGGTCAGGTCAGGCTCTGTGCTCAGCAGGGAATCCGCTTGAGTTTCTCTCTCTTCCTCTCTGCTCCTCCCCCCGCATGCGCGTGCACACGCTCTCTTTCTCTCTCAGAGAAATTTTTAATAAAAGTGAAATCTTAAAAAAACAGCTTTATTGAAGGAAAATTGGCATCCAATACACTGCATGTATTGAAAATGTACTATCTGATGACGACACATGTATACACCCGGGAAGCCACACCCACGCCGTTTCCCCTGCCCCTTTGTAATCATCCCTCCTGCTCCTCATAGTATCCCCTGAACTGCTTTCCATCACTATAGAAGAATTCGCATTTTTCAGAACTTACATAAATAGAATCGTACAGTGTGCACTTTTTCCTCTGCCTCTTTCACTGAGCAGATTATCTGAGATTCACCCATGTTGTTGCATGTGTTCATAGCCGTTCTTTTTCATTTCCAAGTACTATTCCATTTCATAGATGTACCACAGTTTGGCTAGTCACCTGTTGGACATTTGGGCTATTTCCAGTTTTGGACTATTACAAATAAAACTGCTATGAACATTCACGTATGTGTGTCTTGTGTGTGGACATATACTTTCATTTCTCTTGGATAAATACCTCGGAGTATAAGGCCTGGATCATGTGGTGAGTGTTGTTGAACTTTTTAAGAACCTGTGAAACTGGGGCGCCTGGGTGGCTCAGTTGTTAAGCGTCTGCCTTCGGCTCAGGTCATGATCCCGGGGTCCTGGGATCGAGCCCTGCATCGGGCTTCCTGCTCAGCGGGAAGCCTGCTTCTCCCTCTCCCACTTCCCCTGCTTGTGTTCCCTCTCCCCGTGTCTCGTCTCTCTCTGTGAAATAAGTAAAATCTTTAAAAAAGAAAAAAAGAAACTGCGAAACTGTTCCAGAGTGGTTGTACCATTTTTTTTCTTTTTTTAAGATTTTATTTATTTATTTGAGAGAGAGAATGAAAGAGAGAGAGAGCGAGAGAGAGCACATGAGAGGGGGGAGGGTCAGAGGGAGAAGCAGACCCCCCGCTGAGCAGGGAGCCTGACGCGGGACTCGATCCCGGGACTCCAGGATCACGACCTGAGCCGAAGGCAGTCGCTTAACCAACTGAGCCACCCAGGCGCCCATCTTTTTTTTTTTTTTTTAAAGATTTTATTTATTTATCTGACAGAGAGAGAGATAGCCAGAGAGGGAACACAAGCAGGGGGAGTGGGAGAGGGAGAAGCAGGGAGCCCGATGCGGGGCTCGATCCCAGGACCCTGGGATCATGACCTGAGCCGAAGGCAGACGCTTAAGGACTGAGCCACCCAGGTGTCCCAATCTTTTTTTTTTTTTAAGATTTTATTTATTTGAGAGAGATTGAGAGAATGAGTGGGGGGAGGGGCAGAGGGAGAAGCAGACCCCCTGCTGAGCAGGGAGCCCGATGTGGGACTCAATCCCGGGACTCCAGGATCATGACCTGAGCCGAAGGCAGTCGCTTAACCAACCGAGCCACCCAGGCGCCTCATTTTTTTTTTTTCAAAGATTTTATTTATTTATTTGACAGAGAGAGAGAGAGAGCAGGAACCACTGAGGCGCCCGTACCATTTTCATTTTGCATTCCCAGCAGCAAGATAGGCGAGTTCGACCCTCTCCACTTCCGCGGCAACACTCAGTATGGTCGGTCTTGGTTCGTTTCAGCCCCTCAAACAGATGTGTAGTAGAATCTCATGGTGGTTTTCATTTGCATTTCATTCATGACTGATGTCGAGCATCTCTTCCTGTGCTTATTTACCATCTATACGACTTCTTTGGAAGGGAGTCTGTTCAGGGGCGCCTGGCTGGCTCAGTTGGCAGGGCATGTGACTCTTGATCTCAGGATTGTGAGTCTGAGCCCCACGTTGGGTGTAGAGATTACTTTCACTCTCTCTGAGTCAAATAAATAAAATCTTAAAAAAAAAAATAGTACATTTTCATTTGTGCATTTGTTTTTCTCCTTTATTAGACTGTGATTTTCTGGAAGGCAGGAACTGTGTTTTATTTACTCTGGTATCCACCAACCTGTCTTGCACTCAACAGCTGCTCACACATTTAATGACTCTTTTCTCTCTTCCTCCAGAGAATTTGTATTTACTGAATAAATTAACTTTCCCTCATTTTCAAACAGATGATTTAAACAGCTTATATTTTGGGGCGCCTGGGTGGCTCAGTCGTTAAGCGTCTGCCTTCAGCTCAGGTCACGATCCCGGGGTCCTGGGATCGAGCCCTGCATCGGGCTCCTGCTCCACGGGAGGCCTGCTTCTCCCTCTCCCACTCCCCCTGCTTGTGTTCCCTCTCTCGCTGTGTCTCTCTGTCAAATAAATAAAATCTTTATAAAAAAATAAACAGCTTATATTTTTCCTTTTTTGTCCATATTAGCTTTTTTTATTATACAAATAATACTTTCTCAGTATAAGAAAATTAAAGTAGAATATAGAACATACAGAAATACAAGAAAAAAAGTAAAAAATTAGCTGAGATCCCACCACCATTAGAAATTTGGTGATTTTTCTGGGGCACCGGGGTGGTGCAGTCGGTTAAGCATCCGACTCTTGATTTCGGCTCAGGTCATGATCCCAGGGTCCTGGGATCGCTATGTCGGGCTCCATACTATGCGGAGAGTCTGCTTCAGGATTCTGTCTCTCCCTCTGCTCCTCCCCCTGCTCACTTTTTTTTTTTAAGATTTTATTTATTTATTTGAGAGAGAGAATGAGAGAGAGCATGAGAGGGGGGAGGATCAGAGGGAGAAGCAGACTCCCTGCTGAGCAGGGAGCCCAATGTGGGACTCGATCCCAGGACTCCAGAATCATGACCTGAGCCGAAGGCAGTCTTTTAACCAACTGAGCCACCCAGGCTCCTGCCCCTGCTCACTCTTTCTCAAATAAATAAATCTTTAAAAAAAAAAAGAAATTTGGTGTTTTCCTATAATGCATTTCTTTATGTTTATAGTTATGTTAAAAAAATGGGATTGTCATAAATTTTTTTTTTAAGATTTTTATTTATTTGACAGAGAGACACAGTGAGAGAGGGAACAGAAGCAGGGGGAGTGGGAGAGGGAGAAGCAGGCTTCCTGCGGAGCACGGAGCCCGATGTGGGGCTCGATCCCCGGACCCTGGGATCATGACCTGAGCCGAAGGCAGACGCCCAAGAACTGAGCCACCCAGGCGCCCCGGATTGTCATAAATGTTTAAAAAGAATGAAGCACATTTTTTTTGAAATGTTTTTTCCAATTTTTAATTTAAATTCTAGTTAGTTAACATATAGTGTATTAGTTAGATTTTTATTTATTTATTTGTTTATTGATCATGAAAAACTTGTAAAGCAGGGGGAGGAGCAGAGGGAGAGAGAATCCTCAAGCAGACTCCCTGCTGAGAGCAGAGCCCCGGGGGGGGGGGGGGGGGAGGTGTGATCGCATGACCCTGAGATCATGACCTGAGCTGAAATCAAGAATTGGACACTTAACCCACTGAGCCACACAGGTGCACCAAGATTTTGTAAACTTTTTTTTAAAAGTAAGTCTTTTTTTTTTAAAGATTTTATTTATTTGACAGCGAGAGAGGGAACACAAGCAGGGGGAGTAGGAGAGGGAGAAGCAGGCTTCCCGCTGAGCAGGGAGCCTGATGTGGGACTCGATCCCAGGACCCTGGGACCATGACCTAAGCCGAAGGCAGACGCTTAACGACTGAGCCACCCAGGTGTCCCATGAAGCATATTTTAAAAATACGTTGAGTTCTTGAAATGTATGGAACAATTTCCAGGTAACCTGTTTTCCTCTCCAATGTCTTCACTAATAACATGCTGTGTATACCCTTCTATAGCTTTCTCTATCCTCGCGTAATCAAATGCAGACAGGCACGTGCACACATATATAGGGTTTTACAAAAACAAGATAATGTAATATATCTCTGCTTTTTTTATTTAGTAACAGCACAGACGTCCCTCTAAATTAGTTGGTATGGATTAACTGATTTTCAAGTCTGCCTATTAAAATAGGTTAGGGATTCCAGTTTATTGAACCCTTCACTTATTAAAGGAAACTCACTTTGTTTCCAGATTTTCACTATTACAGACAGTGCTGCAGTAAATGCAGTAGAAAACCATGAACACATTACATTATATAATCACACGCCTTGCTTTGGGGCAGATTCCCAGGAGTGGGACTGATACATGGAAAGGGCTTATTTTTAATTTTTCTTGAAAGGGATACAATTTTAATAGATAATAAAATGCTTTCCAGAAAAGAAATTCTCAGTAGTGTTAGCACATTGGTTGTTTGCTATTTTGATGGTTATATAAAGAGATTCCTCCTTATCATCTTAATTTGCATTTTCCTGCGGAGGGTGGGTACTGCTGTCTTTTCATGTTTTTTTTTTGCTATTTGGATTTGCTCTTCTGAGACTTGCCTATTACAATCTTTGCTCATTTTCTATTGTTTTTGTCTTATAATTAGTTTTTAAGACTTCTTTGCATATTAGCTATCATGTACGGCAAGTATATCTTCCTAATGTGTTACTGTCTGTTGACTTTCATCAATTTTAATTTCTTTGGTGATCAAGTGTATCTTTCATTGGTCTGAGTTTTTGTTTCCCTAAAAGTCTCTACCTTTAGATGACCGTGACACTCGCCTATATTGTATTCTAGGTCTGTTTTATTGTTTAATTTAGGACCCTACACCATCTGTTAGCTAAATTTTTTCTTTACTGAATCTACTTACTTATGGGGAATCTATTTCCAGTCTCTATTCTGTAGCACTAATCTGTCTTTCCTACAACAAAATCACTTTCATTATCCTGTCTTGTGTGCTCTTCCTATTGTCTGAAAAGCAAGTTCCTCTTCAACCTCGTTTACAAGTTTCCCCACTATTTTCAAAATTATATTTTAAGATGATGTAATCAACCCCCAACCCAGTTGAGATTCTAATGGAAATGCAATGTACTTGTAAATTAATTTTGGAATTGACTTTATATTGTTTTCCGCCTAAAATTAGGTGTTCTTCCATAGGCCCAAATATTGCTTTGATCCTTCAAAAAGACTATTTTATAACTTTTTTTTTAAGAAAAACAGGAAGTCCCTTTTCACCTGCGGCGAGTCAACGGATCCGGCTTACGGGCGCGCGCCGGCCCCTCCCCCGTCCCTCGGTTCCGGGTTACCATGGGAATCGAGAATTTACGTCACTTAGGGCTTCCGCGCCGGACCCCGGGGTCGACCATGAAGCGAAGGGCGGAGAGGTAGCTTTGCCTCGTCTACGCATGCGCGCTCCTGCTCCACTCCTCCCCCGGCGGTAAATCTCGTTCAACCGGGGTACAGCCGCGACCTCTCGCTTAATCCCAGCGAAACTGCTCCCCGTGGGAGGGGAGTAGAAAGAGAATCGAACAAGAGACAGCCAATCCCATGACACTACGACGCAACAGAGAATGATTGACTCAACCAACCTCAACCAATGAGAAAGCCCTTTGCCCCTACGTCACAGAGTTTGCCCCACCCTCTCCCCTCCTTTCTGGACTCCGAGCTCAGTTCGCGCAGTAACAAATAAAGTGCG